GTGATTAACTTCAGTGCAGTTTTAAGTGGGGTTGCAGTTGTGCATACAGGCTAAAAGCAAAAGTTATACTATTGTAAAAATATAAAATATAAAACTGCTAGATAAATATTTTGTAATATGTGATTAACATTCTTCAAAGTGAGAAACAAGACCATAAATAGGTATACCTGTAAGATGTCTTCGAACTTGTTTTTCCAATCTACCCAGTAAAAATAAATCTTCTCTAAATAAAAAAATATACCACAACAGAGTTTACATTCTCTAACTTCTGAAACATGTAAAATGACAGAAGTCAGTATGACACTTGTACCATCATACATGACATGGCACAAATGCCATCGTAACCATGTGAACTATAGTAAATCTCATCTAGTTGTGTTTAAAACAATCCAGTGAAAACAAATAGCATTCTGATAGATAATCTGACTGAAAGCCCCTGCTCCTTAAACTACTAAATACTGGAAGGCAGGGATTTTGGGTACCTTGAGGCAAAGCACAATTGAAATCATCAGTTCTTTAAGTTTCAAGAAAAGTAGTTTGCCTGCAGTGGTGGGTTGACCCTGGCTGGACTCCAGGTGCCCACCAAAGCTGCTCTATCACTCCCCTCCTCAGCTGGACAGGGGAGAGAAAATATGAAAGGCTCATAGGTTGGGATAAGGACAGGGAGAGATCACTTACCAATTACCATCATGGGCAAAATAGACTTTGACTTGGGAAAATAATTTATTACAAATCAAATCAGAGTAGGAGAAGGAGAAATAAACCCAAATCTTAGAAACACCTTCCCCCCACTGAGTTCAGCTTTGCTCTGGCTTTCTCTACCTCCTCCTCTGCAGCAGTGCAGGGGGATAGGGAATGGGGGTCAGTTCATCACATGCTGTCTCTGCCACCCCTTCCTCCTCCAGTGGAGGACTCCTCACACTCTTCCCCTGCTCCAGTGTGGGGTCCCTCCGACAGGAGACAGTCCTCTGCAGACTTCTCCAATGTGAGTCCTTCCCACAGGCTGCTGTTCTTCACAAACTGCTCCATTGTGGGTCCCTCTCACAGGGTGCAGTCCTTCAGGAGCAGACTGCTCCAGTGTGGATCCCCCACAGGGTCACAAGTTCTGCCAGCAAACCTGCTCCAGCATGGGCTTCTCTCTCCCCATGGGTCCACAAGTCCTGCCATGAACCAACTTCACTGTGAGCTTCCTACGGAGTCACAGCCTCCTTTGGGGGCATCCAGCTGCTCTGGCATGGAGTCCTCCACAGGCTGCAGGTGGATCTCTGCTCCACCATTAACCTCCATGGGTGCAGGGTCACAGCCTGCCTCACCATGGGCTTCACCATGGGCTGCAGGGGAATCTCTGCTCTGGCACCTAGAGCACCTCTTCCCACTCCTTCATTGGCCTTTGTGTCTGCAGAGTTGTTTCATGTATTCTCACCCCTCCCTCTGGCTGAAGTTACTGTTCTCTGGTTTTATTTACCTTTCCTAAATGTTATGACAGAGGCACTACCACCATTGCTGATGGGCTCGGCCTTGGCCAGCAGTGGGTCCATCTTGGTACCAGCTAGCATTAGCTCCATCAGACATAGGGGAAGCTTCTAGCAGTTTCTCACAGAAGCCACCTCTGTAGGCACCTGCTACCAAAACCTTGCCAAGCAAGCCCAATACAGCCTGTACATATATCCATATAAGCATTAGCACTTCAACCAGCCTGGTGCTGTCCAGGAAGAAGAGACTAGAAGTAATCTTTGTCCAAAATACAACTATCTCAGTGTTGTACTGTACTGAATAAATACTGACCGAGTATAAAATCATGTCTGAGTCTAGTAATTGAAAGTTAATACCGAATGTATCTTGATGATGCAGATGTTTTGCTACATCAATGCTGGGATAATACTGTCAATTGATATTCACTCATTATAACCAAAGATGCTTAGACATAATATGAACAATGGAAATGGATAATGCAGCCCAAGTGTTATATTACTTCAATACCACAGTCTACAGAACACTTTTGAAGTATAAAAGTTAAAAAACAAACCCATCTGACCATGTCTCATGGTTTAACCCCAGCTGGCAACTAAGTACCATGCAGCCCCTTGCTCACTCTTCCCCCCAGCCCCAATGGGATGGGGAGGAGAATCAAAACCAAGTGAAAGTCATGGGTTGAGATAAGAATGATTTAATAATTGAAATAAAATATAATAATTGTAATGAAAAAGATAACAAAAAGATAGATAAAACCCAAGAAACACAAGTGATTCACAATGCAATTGCTCACCACCAGCTGACCAATGCTCAGCCAGTTCCCAAGCAGCAATTCACACCTCCCAGCCAACTCCCCCCAGTTCATATACTGAACATGACATTATATGGAATGGGATATTTCTTTGGCCAGTTTGAGTCCATAGCCCTGGCTGTGTCCCCTCCCAACTTCTTGTGCCCCC